GTGTTTCGCTCCATTTTCTTAAAAATGCAAGAAGAATCAAGGTATGGATCTCTATAAATGAAAAGCAAATAGAACCAATCATGGGTCTGTATTTTCAGGGTGGAGATCAGAGGTTTAGCATTTACATGACGCTGTGTGCCAGGTGCTCATTTAAGAGCTCTGAACTTAGTAATTCATTTCTTTGTTAACAAGAACACCATGGTTTTGGTACTATATTCTCCCTAATTTAATGAGGAGGAAACTGAGTCTGAGGGAAAGCAAATAACTTGCCCATTTTCACACAGCTTAGTAAAGCCCAAATTTGAACTTGAGTGGTCTGGTTCCAGAGTTTGTGCTTGTTGTTACTCTATAGTGACCTCAGAAGGAATGTTAAAAGCTAGAAACCTGCAAAAAAGTGACAACTAGACTATCAGGATTGACTGTACAGGATATAAAGTGAGACATGACAGTTTTATAAAGGTCATTTGGCAGGTTAAACACACTCCTCCTACGATCATTCAATGTGCTATTCCCTCCTAAACTTCCTGTGTCAAGAGAAGTATCTTGGTCAATCAGCCTTGAAAGGTCTAACGTTTTGACTATTTATCCACTTTTTCATCTGTCATCAATTCTAGATGGAACTGATATTGTCTTTGATTTTTTGTAGCCATTATACATATTTGTACTTTCCAAAAAATAATTTTTGACAGTTGTACATGTCTTGATAAATAGATCCAGCATTTGATTTGGCTTCCAGTGATCTTCTGACATGGGCACTGTGATAATTTGTTCCTGTTGAACTGAAAAGTTTCTGGGAACGGATGCTTGAGAGAAATCTCTGTGTTCTAATTTGTCAACAAGTAAAGGTTCTTTTGGAATTTCATATCACACTTATTCCAGACTGTGTGGAACCCCGTCTTAGTAGGGACACCCCCTAATCTGTAAAGAAAGGCATCATGGTAGATTCCATCTTGAAAATACAGATTTGTTGCCACCATAACATTAGGAGCTAAGAGTTTTGCCTCATTTCTTATCACGTTACTCCTGATAATGAGTGCTCTCAGACTAATTAATGACAAGATTTTTTTCTTTGCATCTTTGGGTCTCAGCTTCTTTGGGACTGGGAGTCACATATGCTTGGAATTTGCTGGCTAGAGATTTTAAACAGATGGCCACATGCTTTTCTCCCTCTAGGAAACTTGCTTGGTTGTTTGTCCTTTAGTTCTCATGGTAACCAAAGAAGGTTGTTAACATTTTTTGTCACAAAGTCTCAGAGCCGTCAGACAGTCACAGCTGTTGGATGAGAGCTTGATCTTTTGTTGTATTTTTCTAGTTTATGTTAATGGACTTTTTATTACCTTACTATATTTTTAGGGCATATAGTAAAAAAGAGAGTACAGAAAGAATTCCTCTTTGTTGCATATCCTGTTTAATATTTTAATTGCTAGGAGAAAAAAAAATTTTCCCTGCAGTCTCTGGTATTGGTAATAAAGGCCAATGTTATGTTCAGATAGTTGGTACATATGTTGGACTGTTGAAGATGTCTTTCCATGTTATAGATTTATGCAAATACTCCATTGTGTTCTGTTTTCAGCCAGTGAATGAGATATGGAGACACAGTGCCTAAAAAGGATCTGGCTAAAGGGTCAGACAATAGTTGTGAATTTTCACAAGCTGCATCATCTTGAAATATCCACCTGCCCCTGAATGACCATGTTCTAGAAAGATCTAGTTATGGTCATATATATATATATATATATATATATATGAGCACGTAGGGTGGTACGGTGCTAGGTCTCTGTATTTAAATACGCACAGTTACTGAGGCTAAATTGAAAAATCAAGAGAATCTTGAGAATCACAGCTATGCACAGCTAATGGAAGTAGTGACATAATACATCTCAGTCATGGTATTAATTGCAATGAAAAGAGAAATTCTGTTGTACTCAAGACTGTCTGTGGACTCATAATTGTTCTCATTCTTAAATTTACCTGCCATAGTCATTGTCCTTTTTATTACTGCTGTCATTCTGGATAGTCTTGTAAATGGCTTTGTCAAATCAAAGAGTTACATTGTAAATTTGTAAGTGAAATTAGATTTATTTTAAATCCCATAAGCCAGGCTCAAACAGTGAGAAATAAATATATCTTTTGTTCATGGTTATCTGAAAATATTGAAGGTGACATTGGTTGTGCTGTTTCCAAGGTGACTCTGATGAGGCATGAAAAATTTATTTAGTGTGCTTTCCTTGCAGATGGTAATATTTAATAAAGTCTTTCCACTAATATGAAGTTCTATACACTTTATTATCAAAAATTATAAGATCTATGTTAATGATATAAATTGATTTTCACTACAGGGTTTTGCATCAAATTTGGAATGTTTGATGAGATGTAAATGGGGTGATTACAAATGGTTGTATTTTCTATCACTTAATCTTTTTGTGACATTTTATATCAGCCTTAGATCATGCTTAAAACAAGTATTATTTATATGTAATTACTTATATTTCAGCAGGAAAGCATAAGATATGGATCATGAGCTTGAAGTTGGAGGTCCAATAGTCTTGAATTCAAATTTTGATTCTGCCATTTAGATGTATCATTTTCAGAAAGTATCTAACTTCTCCCTGATTCTTGTTCTCATGTGTAAAAACAACTGGAAATTATACTTCTTTTAGGTTTTTGTGTGGATCAGGGGTTCATTCCAATCAAAGTACTTACTACATTGCCTAATTATTACTAAGTACTCAATAATGTTTGTTAAAGCTCGTAAAATAAATAGAGCTAGAATTAAGTTCATTTGGTCTTTTTGTCTTTCAGCATGGATTATGTTACTGGTAGTTAAGAAAAATTTGTTAAGACACTTGTTAAAGTGTGGGGAAGATTTTATTTGAGAAAGGGACCAGTGAATGAGATTTTGGGGTAAAGGGAATACAGTGAGCTCAATTTTAAATATAGAAATGACAAGTGGGATGTACAGCTAAGGGGTAGGGTGAAGGACAGTGGATGGAAAATTACTAAGGAACATTTTACCTAGGGAGACTTTCGCTAGAATAACTCAGCTGTATTCTTGCTGAAGGCAGACTAGATTGGTGAGGTACTGTGGGTGGGATGAGGAATTTAAGAAGATGTTAAGAAAGGTAATTTTTGGCTTCTGATCAAGCAGGACTTTTGCTAATAGTATACTAAGTTTATCAAAGACAGAACCTAAAGCAAGGCCTAGTTGGGAGGATGGCACAGGAGAACCTGAGGGTAGTTTGGTCTAAAAGAGTCTTTGTCACTGGCATAAGAAAAACATCAATAGTATCTAGAATATAACTAAAATATTTCTTGAATGCCTTATAAGTACCAGGCGTGGTGTCAGACTCTTAATAAAAATTGTTTTATTCAGTTGTTACAACATCACTCATTTTTACGAACAAGAAAATTGAGGTTCAGAATGGTGAAGAAAATTTTAAAAGTATCTTTATAGACTGAAGGCTGGAATTTAAATTCAGTTTCTGACTCCAGAACCAGCATCTATGTGTACTGTTATTCCTTGAGCAAGGCTCACTTGCTACATGGACAAATATAGTCTTCCTGCCAACGTTCAGCAAGCACTTATTTTGAATGAATGAATAAATGAATGCATAGCTGTGAGGATGGCAAACTTCAATTGGTTTTTTAGATTCAGAAGAATTTCAAAAGCTTCAATGGTTAGTTTAGCTGCTAAGGTCAAGGTATTGATCACTTGTTAGCCTCACTCTCCTAAATGCCTTAATGGCAGAAACCACAGGGCTTCATGCTTCTAATTACCCAGTTGTCTTTGAGCTCAGGGTTTCAGTGTTTGATGCTGATTGCTTGGCTTCTGATTTGGATGCATCTGAGACCCACTTATCTCTGCCACCATCCAAACTCACCTTGAAATCAGTAGGAGAAGCTCCTTGAATAAGAACAAAGGGACAAAGACAGCACTGGAAGAAGTGTGTCAGTCTGGCTCTGTGTGTGTGTGTGTGTGTGTGTGTGTGTGTGTGTGTGTGTGTACACGTGTTTTCAAATACACACTTCAAATCTGATCTCTCAGATTTAGTATTCTGTGGATATTTATTCATCTTTTCATCAATCACATTCCTCCTCTTTTACAGACTTCCTTGATTATCCTTCAGGGGTACTATTTTAGGAACTGTGATCAGATGCTGTAGAGTAGAAAACCTTAGGACTCTAAAGCAGGGAACCTTTGAATAATGTTCAAAAACAAACACAACATGCAGTTTTCCTGAGGGGAATTTTTAAGTATTCTACCAGGGTCAGGGTCAAATCCCTTAAATTAGATCTTTATTTAAGATTTCGACTTTGAGACTTGATATGTCTGAGAGTAGTATTTGCCTTTCAGTGAGTCGGACTAATGTACTACATTTAAATTTAGGATTCTTTAATAGATAATTTGTTATAACATAGGTGAAGCAAAGTTAATATTTAACAAGTCAATGGAAGTCACAGAATGGTTTAGGGAGATTTCAGATATCTTCATGGGTTGGTGGTGTACAGAGTAATCATTGTTCTAGTTCCTATGAATTCTCTCTATATTTGGTAAAGAATCTTATTCAGGGTAGATGCTTTAATAAGTACTTGTTAGATGAATGAATGAATGTCCCTGGACCCACGAGAAGCAAAGCTTTGATTTTCCTCTGTTCAGGTTAGATAATGGAGTTACATTAAAGATACATAAAAGTTGACAAAGTATGAACAGATAATTTACAAACATTTATATTTCTGTGTTAGGAAATACGGTATGGTTAGGAAAACAAGACAATGATTTGTACAGAATCAACTTGATTAGGAAATGAACACATCACAAATTACATTTTTGCAAGACCAAACATCACATATAACATACATGTACGACAGACATCGCTTCTGATTTTGATATTAACATACCATCAGTTACACACATGAGATATATTGTCAGTTCAATTTTAGGTCATGAAATATATAATTTTTGATAAGACATTTCAAATTACAACGTATCTCAGGCAGCATGCAAGAAAAGTCATTTATTGTACATTAGTTAGGACACACTTTGCATCAAGCTTCCAGGTTTTGGTAGTTAGATCAATAATATAGAACTATTTGAAATATATCATGGTTGAAATCAGCAATTGCATTTGCTGGCTGAGAGCATATCTGATAAAATAAAACTCTCTGAGTTCATTCATTGACAAATGCACAGTGATCATAAACACAGTTCTTTTAAGATTGTTTTTCCACAATTAATTCTCATTTATTGGTGATACAGCAGCTGCAGGGAATCTGAATTCTGAGAGCTGGTTTTACATAATAGCAGGACTTTATTCTTCTGTGGACTCACATGATCACAATAAAGATGTTTATCATTTGAAATCACATATTGTAACAATGGTGCTATACAAACATCACAAATATTTGGTGTTACCAAGTCTTAACAAATATGCTGTGATTATTTCACAGAGACTAGATTAACAGGCAGTGTAAATCACATATATCTTATGATTTTAAAAATACAATTTATACAATATACTTCTCATTTCTTCACTAGCATTTCATTTTGGTTTTTTCTTTTGTTTTATTTTTGTCTTTGAACTTACAGTCCTTAGAGAACCATGAGTCTCTGGCTCATGTCAAGAAAGTCAATAGTATTGATATTTTCCCACAGGAATATGGCTGAGTGTACATTGAATCACACAGTTAACAAAACAACATTAACTTGTAACAGATTCTTTTTAAAATTCAAATAAAATCTAATACTTTTAAAAGCAGTTTGAATAAAACTATAGTGATCAAAAATTTTATTTACAAAACATTTAAATATATTTTAAATGGCTAGTTCTTGCTAACTGCACAGATTAAATATCCTTGGTGTACACAGTCTATTAGCCTCTTGAGCAACATTTCAGACCTTGGAGTTAACTCACATGAAATGATTAGGAGAAATAACTAGAATTCCTTTTCTATCCATTCAAGGTGCATTAAGGGCATCATTTTACTGCTTCCCCTATAAACAACATCTACAGTTACTGCTGGTTTCTTTTGCTGAAAAGATCAACTGAAATTCCCAAAATGTATAGTGCAGTATAAGAATTAAAAGAATGATAAATTTACCATATAATGTTGGAATTCAAGGCTAGTTTTTTGCAGTTGACCCAAGTTGTCATACCTCTTTTTCAAGGCTGCTGTGTATTACATTGGCTTTAAAAAGATTTCCTTGGTCCTTAGAAATACAAAATATTAATTTTCAAAAGATAGAAGATGATAGGGTAAGCATTCCTCACAATCACATTCATAGTAAAAGAAGTTAGTCTACATTTACAGATCATTCAACAGTTTTCTTTGGCAGGAAACTTTATAAATAACATGTTTCATTCCTTCATGAGGCCATTTTCCTTTTTGATAATACCAGGGATCTGGTCACTCATTAACTACTTTGAGACAATAAGAAAACACCACACATATAAAATATTTAAGTATACCACATACTCTTTTATTAAATTCCAAGTGTATTGATTCATTGATAGTAGAGAAGATATTTTACACAGGATTTTCTAACAGTGTTTTTTAATATTGTAATTTCAATAATATGGTCACCAGTAAAGGGATATATACCTTTATTCCCCACAAAATTTTATCACTGAAACACACTGAAAAAATACACTGGAAACTGAATATTTTACATTATGTTTTCCACAAAATGAGTAACAGATGGTTCATATACCTCTGTGTGTGTGTCTTTTGTGCTCAAAATGGCAATTCTTAAGTGATTACATTCATCAGCATAAAAGACTCAAACTGAAAAATTCAGTTAAGTATTCAGATGTCTTACTGATATGCCACCACTCAGAAATTCCAAGTGTTGTGAGTTTATTCTGAAAAATAGCTTTAGATGTGTAAGAATCATCGAGGTCAGCTGGAGGAACATTAGGTTGCTTACTGCATTTTCCAAGCAAGGTAAGACCTCCTCTTAGTTCTGCCTCTCTTCCACTCTCCTCCTCCTTTCTTTGAAGGTTGTTTGTGATGCATCCTTTAACCGTGATTACATGATAAACACAAGTGGTCCTTTCCTTTTTGGTCCCATATAGGGAATTCATTATCACCATTTGGGGAGATGAGGTTTGTTTTCTTTCTTTCTTTCTTTCTTTCTTTCTTTCTTTCTTTCTTTCTTTCTTTTTCTTTCTTTCTTTCTTTTCTTTTTTTTCTTTTTGCATTAGTATAGAGATGAGCTCTCTGACATCATGACACGCCACCCTTTTCTTTATGGACTGCCATTTGTTCTGGATCAGAATGAGTTCAATTTACCATCACAGTTATCCATTAAGCTTATCCAGTGAGGGGAAAAAACAACTATCAGTAACCATTGAAAGTGAGAGAGAAGTCCTGGAGAAGTTTTCCTTCTGACCTGTCCCTCAACTCTCCCAGTGGCACAGAGCAGTTTTGTGCATATATACAGTATGTACAGCATGCTGGCCTCTTCCCTTGTCCATGTTGAGAAAGCTAAATGTCCTCTAGGATGAGCTTCCTGCTGTCTATAAACATTGCCCAGTGAAGCTCAGGGAAGTCCTGTTGTAATAACAGTTGTGCCAGCGATTACTGTTATTATGGCTTTATTGGAACAGTATTGAGTTGCACCACTGAACTATGAATGGTACTGAAAGGCAAAGCTGTGGAGGTACTAAAAATAATCATCCACTACCTTCTACTGTGAGGGCCTTTAAAATACTTATATGTTTGTGAAACATAATAATTACACTCATCTTTAGGAATTGGTACATACACACATTGCATCTTGATCACTTTTACTTAGCCTCCCCCTCCTAACCTCCCATCCACCTCCTTCCCCTTATCTAGTTCTCCTGATTCCCTTCCCATCTCTATAGAGGCCATCTTCCTATTTCCTATCATCTTTTTTTTTTTTAAATTTTGCTCTATTTATGCCTTGTGATATTTAGAATTTTGCACTCTGGTTTATCTTACTTAGCATTATGGTCTCAAGGTCTATTCATTTTCCTACAAATGATTCAAATGAGTCATACTCCACTGTATATAAATACCACATTTCCTTCATCCATTCATCTGTTGATGGACCCAAAAGCTACTTCCACAATTTAGATATTATGAATTATGCTGACATGAACATGGGTATGCATATAACACTGTAGTATGATGACTTTAACTCTTTTGGTAAGATACTCAGAAGTATAGCTATGTCAAATGGAATTTCTACTTTTAGTTATTTGAGGAATCTCCATACTGATTCTCATGGTCGCTGTACTAGTTTACATTCACACCGACAATGTAGAAGAGTTATTTTTCCCCAAACCTCTCCAGCATTTGTTGTTTTTTGGGTTCTTAATAATAGTTAATTCTTATTGGAGTAAAATTTGATACAATTCCTAAGCTAAAGGTCATTAGAGTGTGTCACTTTTTCTCCTGCTAGAAAATTTTCTGTGATAAATTTTAAATTCTGGCTTCTTTTAAGATTTCATAACCTGAGCCAACAGCACAAAGAAAAGCCATTGCTATAATTTGTACTAGGAAACCACTGTGAACTACCAAGTTCAGGTGGGAAGTGAAGGTTCTAGATCCCTTTGATGGGTCTGAATGAATTCCTCTCAGTTGGATCCAGTCTCTTCCTCTGTGAAGACGTACTTCCCATCCTGAAATTGCCTGACTGGAGTGATCATTCTAACAAGTAGCTTCTTAGTGAGGCTCTGACACCAAGTGAGATTTAGGATGTGCAAATGGAGATGACACAAAGGTGGACACTGTGGGTGTTAGGGGTTGGCAGAGCTATCTGGAGGCCAGGTGTGACATAGTAGGATCAGAGAAATGGGAGAACTGTCAATGAGAAGATGTGATCAGCCATAGCAAATAGGCACCCAAACAAATGTTCAAGCTTTGACCAGTGACAGGAGAGGAACACAGATTGTAGAGGAGCAGGTAGAAAAAATATATATGTCAGTTATTCTCATCCCCCTACCCTGGAAAAGAGCTATCAATTAAAAATATCTGACTCCTTCTAAAGGCTTAGAATGATAGTTCTAGTGTTTGCCTCCAGAATACTATCATGGAGCTTGTATTTTAGGCTTCATTTTATATCCTTTGAATTACTTTTCTAGATCAATGGGAAAGACCAAATACATACAATTACACATAACTCGTAGTGTTTTTCATATTAAATGTAAGGCTCCACACATCTACACACACCCCCACAATACTAAATACTTTTCTAGGCAGTTTTTATACATGAAGTCCCCTGCTGATACTCCACTTCAGTTCTGCCCCAGTGCAAATGAAAAAGCCTAGGAGGTCTCAATTCTGCATTATCTGTGTCTTTCAAGTTAATGAGCCATGTGAAGCTTTGAAAATATCTTCTAAAAACCAACACTCACTCATCACCAGTGGCCATGCATCTCAGTATTCAAACCAATACAGTCACCAAGGGTTACACACAGGTTTAGCATTAAGGCAAATGAGCAGAGCTAGCCCATGAAGAGAAAGTCCTCCAAAGTCATTTTCTAGTCCAACAGGCAGTCAAACAAATTAGATCATCTGTTGCTCTTTAAAAGAACTGGAAAAGCTGATCAGAAATCTAATTGGTGAGCTTGCTGAACCTCAGTTACGTCACAAACAAGTAGTTCTAAGGATAAACTTTCCTTCAAATGACATTCTAAGTGAATGGTGGACATTTCTACCCATGTATTAGAATGTATTGCATTGAGAAGGAGCTTACAATTTAAACTTTTTAAGTTTCTTCCTGGGAAGAGGCAGAGTCAAACGATGGTGACGTTGATTATTCTTGACCGCACATGGTGTGCATAACTGGTTTTAAATTGAAGCATGCACGAGAATCATCTGAAGGGTTTATTATGATCCACTTAGCTAAGCCTATTCCTAGAATTTCTCATTCATATATTCTGTTGGGGTTTCAGGCAGGACTGGATAATTTGTGTATCTAACAAATTTCCAAATTGTTGCTGATGGTGTTTTCTGGGGATCAAACTTTATAATCACTTTAGTAGCTTATTCTAAAACATTATACATACTTTTCCAAATCACCTTAATAACCTGGCCAGTACAAAGATATTCCATGTAGAATGTAAAGATCAATATTAAAAAAAATTCCCCTGAAATTCTTACAGTGTAGTTAAGTGACAGAGTCTACTGCTACTAGTCTAATGTAGGAAGTCTTTGGTTTGCTGGGGATATTGCTCAGTGGTACAGCGCCCGCTTGGCAAGTGTGAAGTCATGAGTTTAATTCTTGGTACCCCCCCAACAAAACAAAACAAAACAAAACAAAACAAAGCAAGTCTTCAGGTTCAGAATAAGTCCCATGTCAATTTATACAGAAAACCTGTAAATAAAATATGATTTGAACTCACGTTGTAACCTGTGATATTCCTTTGAAGAGAATATTATTTTTCTATATTACATAGTATAAGTTCCTAATAGGCTACTTGTGGAAAATTCTATGGTCTCTCCCTATAGGGTAGTATTTTTAGTAATAGCATGAACTTTCTCTCTTGCCTCTTAGGTGATAGTCTTTCTATCAGCTCCGGATGATTAAAACACCAGCTAACCTTGTTCATTGTTTCTTGACTGAACACAAACATAGAGGCTTGTTGACTTTTTCTAGTAAAATTCTTGTTCAAATGTATCAAGCGCAAGGACTTATATAAAAGAGTAAATAGAGGAACACCAAAGGCATAGCCACAATACTCAGTTGAGAAAGGATTAAACTGAACTAGCAATCAGCATGCATAATTAAAGCTTGTTGTTTGCTTCACTGGTAAGTAGACCTGGCTCAGTTTAAAAAGTGGAAGTCAAGGAGTTTATTTGTGCGATTGAGTACCAAGAAAGCATGACAGGAAGGTCCAATTTATTCATGAATTTTCTCCCTCAAGCACCTGCCATTGACTGACAGCACTATAAGTACTGCTTAAGGCAGTCCTCACCAGAAAATGCTTATGGGACATATTTGCTTTAAAAAGGGCAGAAAATGTTACCTTTTGAATTTACTATTTCCTAATCAAATTTGAAATGAGGGTCAAACTTATCACGAGGAACTTTTTGAAATATGAAAATGCATGCTACTGCAACTTAAGAGACTCTTTATATAGAAATTTAAAATGAGAGAAGGAGGAAGTATTTTTATCCTAGGGAGCAGTCCTAGAAATTACTACAGTTTTAACAAAGATACTATCTATTTTAACTTTCTCTTAACTTTGAGACTTATAAGATCACTTTGTCTCTTGCAATGTCAATTTACCTTTTCCCCTGCCAAATTTGAATTTATGCCTCAGTGCTAATAAAGTTGGAATAAATTACTGCAGTGATGTTGAAAGTTTTGCCATTTCTGATGACATTCCAAATGGGATTCCTTCAGGAGAAAGCTTACATTCATTCCCCTAAAACTTTCTTTGTTTATATAAGCATACTTCACTATGGTTGCTTTTTGTTTCTTCCCCCGTGAAAATGTCGAAATCATCTTGCTGTATTTTCTCTGTGAGCAATTTCATATTGCTAATGAGGCATTTGGGCTGTGGCAGACAAATGATTGCTAGGAGTGTGATTTAAATCTTTTTGTGAACTCTTTTTGAGCAGTCATTTTCTACCTAACAAAGGAGGCATTTAGAAAGACAGTTGAATCTGTATCAAATGATACTCTGATTTCATCTTCATCTGGAATTCTTGTACCTTTAAATATCTTTCTGCTTGGTCACTGCACAGTCTGTTTATAATTTACATACCTTGATATAAAATAACCACTGTCAGTTGCTTTCTCCTAAAAGGTTGCCATTAAGCACACAGAATAAAAACTAAAGGTTACTGTGAGGCCCTATGCAAACTTAAATTTTACCTTTAGAAGATTTAGCCTAAGAAGGTCACGGATTTGGAATCCACTCCAATCTCATTACATCTTCTACTGGATGCTTTTTCACGCAGAAGAAACCTCTTACTTCCCTCAGGGAAAGGAGACTTTTTCCAACAGTGCACAAATAATTATTTCAAAATAAATCTTTAAATTTCTGTCAGAATTCATGCGGCTTTCTTGGCTTGGTGCTCACACTGGTAATCACATATGACGGGCAGCACCTGGTTCTCAACCTAAGGTGCATTCGGCCCTTACTCATGCATGGATGAGAGCAGGGAGTCACAAATGTGTGGAGCTTTATGTGCTCTGGAAAAGACTATCTCCCTCCACACCACGAAGTGGAAATTCAACTACAGAGAGATGTGGAGATTCCTGAGGCTTTGAAACAATTAGGTAGTTCACAAAGATAGAAGCCTTCAGGTCTCTTCTCCAATAGCTATTTGATTTTCAAATTTTGAAGAGAATACTACATACTTAAAGTTGGAGACTGAGGTCCTGTAGTTGCTGTTAAAAGACAAGACCTGCAGTAGCTCCCTGAAGTTGAACCAGATCCCTCAGAGTCAAATGAGCAATAGGCAGAGATAAAAAAATCCAGTGGTACCAACACCACTTGAAACAAGCAATTCAGCAAAGATGAAGCAAATGGTCTTTTCACAGGCTTTTTCCCTTCAACTTGAAATTGTAACTAAAAGTCTGTATGTAAGTATCACACAGGGCTGAGCTCATGGAAGACTCTGGGATTTGTCTATGGAGCCTGAATTCATTCATTTCATTGGTGAAAGTTGTGAATCTAAGAAAATGAGTACTTTTATTAAGATTTTGCATGACAGATTTCAGAATAACCCTATTAGGCAGTCTCAAGTGGATAAAATTTCTCCAGACCAAAATGAAAGGTTAATTTAATTGAGGGACATAATTGGACTCTTCCTAAATCCAGAACCAGAAAGAACTACTTTGTTTGATTACTCTGCCTTGAATTCTTCATATTACCATAGGATGCCTCATTCAATACCGTGAGCAACGTAAATGCTTATGCTAAGTTGAATTGTGTGTCAGAAAGAAATATATACTATGACATTCTGTTTTAAAACTGCTCTATTGATTTGACTGAGTTTTTTCTTTTTAAGTTTCACCTGAATATAAAGTGAGTCAATGATCTTTAGAAGACAGATTTTAAAAAACTGATCAATTTTCTGCCCTTTATTGATTTTGTTCTGATTCCTTTCTTTAGGCAGTCATCCAGTTGATATTTCTGTAGCCACAATCTCTTTAAGGAAGCTGTTCAGTGCGCACCGTGTTAAGATAGAGTCAGAATGGTGTGTGTTTTTGTACAAAACTTCTGGAATAGCTGTTGTAATTCTCCTGGGAGAATTAGGAAATAAAAGGGGAAAACTGAAGTCATGTCAGAGTCCCTCCCACAGAAAGACTGTGGAGAATTCTACTGGGAACCACAGCAGACAAAAACTTACGAAGAAGTGGAAAATACCAAGAAAGTCTGACAAACGCCTGGCCTCCTCTGTAGTCTGGAAACCTATGCAGAACCAACCTCCTTTCTTTGTTGTTTTCAAATATTAAATATCTTATCCTTTGCTTTAAAGAGAATCAACCTGTTTTTATTTTTTAAGACAAATTAAGGTTTTGGACAATATCATGATACTAATATCCACAAATATGATGCTGAGTAGTCCAAGCTCCGCAGATGTATGCACTAGTTCTGCATTGCATTAAAACAATTATTATTTTCACTTTATTGTATGTCAGAGTATTGTTTTGGAAGGAAAAAAATACAAGTTTAGACTTCTCATTGCTAGGTCCAGTCTGTTTAACTGTGATGTTTTCTATGTTTTAAAAAACTGGTTCCATGGAAACAAGTTTTGAAAGAAGGGTTTGCTTTCCACCCAGCAACAAGCCGGCCGTTGAACTGCATCAAAATATTAGAGTCAAATGAAACAGACTGATTCCAGACAGAAAGGAATCAATGCAGGTAACATATCAAATGAATGAAATATTTCTGGTATTGCTTTAATCCAACAAGACTTGAGCTGGATTGCTGCTGTGGCTCCCAAACCAACAACTACTTGGTCTATATCTTGACCCCATCTGGCAGTTGAATCATGATGTAATTATGGCTTAAATAGTAACCTGTGTCCCCTGCCCAACTGCTTATTTGTGTCCAGATACCATGTGATTGGCAGAGTGGAGGCAGTGGCTGGGTGCTGATATGTTATTAAATCCTTTATTATTAAAATTTGTTTGGGGGTTAATGTTGCAAAAAATGAAATCATTGCTTCTGATTAGGCATTGAAACATCTCTTTTTCATTTGTGCTTAAAGTTTAAAATAATTCAAACATAATTTTTACAGTGATAAGTAAATTTAGTTTAGTTTGAAAGGAAGAGCATCTCTTCTGTTTGACTTTTCTCTCACCATTTGCAGTTGTTTCTGAAGAATGTGCTTATGGATTAAAAGTCAGATGCAAGGAAAAGGAGGCATAAAGAATCACTTTAACCAACTGTACTCACAGTTCTTTTGGTGCTAGACTCATTTCTCGATAAAATACAACTAGTTATTGGAAAAATTCCCAATGCATTTTGATGACAAATGCTCTCATTTCAAAAAAAAGTAAATCTATGCAGAGTTTGTGAGAGCAGTGTGAGAATATCAAGAATATTTTAAGACTCATACATACATTTACCAAAGCATCATCTGTCTCAAAGACGATCTGGAATGTCAAATTTCTTCTAAGATTACTGATGGCAGCAGAAACCTCATTCTTAGAATTTTGAGTAAAAATTACCAAGAAAAAAATTTTTTTTGAAAATTTAATACTATCCACTGTAGCTGAAAATAACTTTCATTTTTTATATGATAGTATTCTTTGCTTTGGTACAATGTCATAAAAGTTGTGTTGATGAAATACTAATAAAATAATCTTTTCACTTTTCTAAGGGCGAATATTCCAAATAGTTACAATAATGAAGAAACTGGTGAAATAGGCTCCCATGTCTTGTCACTCGCATCACTGTCTCTTCTGCCTCACCCTTACCTGTCCCCATGGAGAAACATGTAACAACCGGCTGGAAGGGTTAGTCTGTCCGTTAGTAAAGTCTTTAGGAAAAATGCTAGACACAAGGCCATCAGTGTACATGAAAACTGAGGGCTGGTTCAGTTGAGAATAACTGCTAAATTACATCTAGGAGAGGAGAGAACACAAGTGATGGTGGCTGGTAGGGTATTTGTGGGTGAAACTCCTGTTGTTTTTCTGCCAAATGCCAAAACAATTTTTTAGAAAATGTCTTAATTCAAGCTTGTCTGTCTGCTGTGTGCTATGTTTCAAGAGGAAATATAAAATCTCATAAATTTGACCATGACCACAATATGGTTTAAGAACTTTTTTCAAGACTCATCCAAGTAAGAGGGAGCCCTCATTGATCCTTAAGACTCTCAATCAGGAATGCTTGCTAAATAAAAGGAAGAAAAATAAGTTCCTTTATTTTAAAAACTTTTGTTTTTGAAAGGATGACTTTGGATTTGCATCTTTAGCTCAGAAAGAAAATCAAGAACATGTTTCTTTCCCTTCTCTCCACCTTTTTCCATTTGTGTAAAATATTTGATGAAAAGGGATATTAACCCAACATGAACTTCTGCTCAGTCTTAGACATCCAAAATGTAGTTTTGTGTTGGACACAGATAAGTTATTTTGTTATTATGTATGCATCTCTGTGGTGTAGCAGAGATAAAGTTGAAGTAATGTCCAGTTTTCAGAGAAATAATCTAACTAGCATTCCAAATCTTTATTTTTGCACTTGGTAAAATGGACACTTTTGCTAGAATGAAGATTAAAAGCAAAATTCTGAATGTAAATAGAAATATTCAAATTGAGTCATTTTTTAAAAGGAAATACAAGTTATCAAGTTGGGAATTTAAAAACTTTACAGTTTAAAATATAGAAGGAAAGGAATTTATTGAAAGAATTTTTTTTATAAGACATCTCTATAGATCCAGTAGATTCCACTAAATAACCCAAAAGTAAGGAAAGTGTGCCCAAAGCATACTTTTTTCTGGTTATCAAAACCAAAATTTATGTATTCCCAGCTTTAATTTTCACATAAACCTCAAATAAAGAAGTTTAAATTGTACAATTGTCTCTGGAAACTGGAAACAAAAAAGTGTATCTTTGTCAACAACATTGATAATTCTCCATATCATTATTTTAGTTGTATCACACTATATGAATATCATTCAAGTGGAAAAATCTTTTCAAATTTATTCCTTGGTATAATGTCAAAATGAGTGGAAAAAATAAAATCCATATCCAGAAGGAATATTATTTTTCTCAAAACTAGCCATCTGGATTATATCACTTTGAGCAGCAATGTTTATACAGCTTACTCTTTTTTAGGTAAAATGGTTTGAAAAATCTTTGTGTACTTGCTTATTTAATAAAATTGGCCTTTATATTTTTAAGTAATAATATATAAGATGAAAAATATGATTTTTATATTGTAAAGTGGGTCATTGCAAACCTAAAATAACACTTTTACAGAAGATCTGTCTCATATTACACTTTATGATTTCAGGGAGACTAACAAAGAGTAAATTAAAAGTTCTTTAGGAATGTAGTAATAGGCCTCTTCAAAGAGCTCTAGCCCCTGCCTTTCAACTGAATAGACAGTTCTGGTATAGAAAGTGGCAGAAGTGTCATAGTAAACCAACTTCTCCTTACCCTAATACATTCTTGGATTTGATAAATAGAGTCAGTAAATTAGGGGGGCCAACATGTGTCTTAATGGCCAAAAACTGACTCAGCATCATTGAAGTTATATAATTCTTATGTTGGTATCTGATTATTAACATGAATTTTCATACTATTTCCATATCAGAAATATAACATCTAGCATTCAGCCAACTCAGATTTCTTAGAGGCATGGAAACTAGATATTCTTATGCTTATGCATTTATATACTTCATCTTTACGGAAACTCTTGTAGGACTTGGAGATGTCTATGTTGATTTTCATTCCTGATCTATATATGCACATATTGATAGAAGACCAGATAGATGGGCAAGGAAACATGGTGAATATGATTCCAAGAGGTAGAAAAATCAATAATACTGCTATATTACATCACCTTAGGGCATAATATGTCTTTAACAGATGTAGAGACATCATACTATGTTCTAGAGACTGCTGTAGGTTGGATGTCATGTTTGACTTTTCCTATGATAAATTATCTTTCTGAAAACCAAGTCCTGAACAATTACTTTTATCATGAGCTTTCTTATTGTTGGGGGGTAATGGTGAGCATCACTATGAGTAACTGAATGCAGTGAGAGTAGCCAATGGGAGAGCTACAAGCATTGACAGTAGGGAAAGGAAAGATGATGATCGGAATAAAGATCTTTCCCCATGAGGGGCTGGGGATTTAGCTCAGTGGCATAAGCACCTGCCTTGCAACCATGCAGTTGTGAGTTCGATCCCTGGTACCAATAAAAAAAACAAAGATCTTTCCCCACAAGCATAAATCAAAGTAAGCAATAATTTATATTACCACTGAGTAGTATGTACCTTAGGAAAGTAAATTAGAAGATCTTTAATAAAACTGAAGATTTGAATAACTTTTGAATGCGTCTTTTTGGACATCTTGGCAGTCAAGAAGACAGAGAAATCTGGATACTTACCATTTCGTTTGAGTAGGAAACTGAAGCACTTTCTCCCCTGGAGTTCCACTTCTCAGTGGTTGCTCTTTCTACATATAAGACATCCTCTGCTTTGGCAGATAATTAGCCATTGCCAGAGTAAACTTCAAAAACTGAAGTACCTATTTCAGGGGTCTAACTTTTCCATGCTATCTATGCAGGTGGAGAACCATTTAAAATGTGCTAGCTGATATGAAGAAAATGAACATGGAAAGAAGAGGTAAGGGCATAATGTTAGAAAAGAATAGCAGAAATGCAATCTACTAACAAAAATCTGTAGCAAGGTCTAAACTAAACTAATCGATCTATTCATACAGGTTTCTTTCTGTTTAAGACTGTGATTTTTCTGTCTCTTCTGCACAATGCACACATTCATTTACTGAAATCCACATTTACATTTGCTTAGTTCTACCAAAAGTTAGAATGCTTCGGTCCAATGAAATGAATACTATGACAAATGCTGAAAGCCAGCTGTAGGTCAGTGTGGTCCAGTATTGTATACTATAGGTATACTATAGGTCCAGTATTGTATACAAATCAGGAACTATCTAAATTGTCCTCAATTCATCAAACTATACTCAGGACTTGCTGGGTATGCAAAACTGCACAAGATGAGAGAGAAAATCAAAGCCAAAAAAGAGACTCCGTATCTCTAGCCTGGAAATATTGAAAGAACTCTTAGAGGGCTTTATTTGTGTTTTTGGAAAGGTAAGGTTTTGTCACTCTTAGAAAACAGAGGCTTTATCTTCTTCCAGACAAAATGTTCTACTTTTTTATAAAGGTCTTAGATGTGGAGACAACTCATCAATCTCACTTTATTTTGGCAGGCTATGACCAGAGGCCTTGGGCTGCTATATCACCAATGAATCAACTAGGTATGAAAAAAGGCAGAGAGGGCAGTGAATCTTTGGAGGCTGTAATAGATAGGAGCCACCTAGTAAACTCTGCAGGGTTGTTTCAAACAGCACATTTTTCAATTTAATTTTATGTTTGAAAAGTAACTGCAACAAATTTTAGTGCATTTATGCTATAAACTATAGAAAACAAAGTTCTACAACATATTCACTAGTGGAAGGATTGAATCCAAATCTAGGAATTAAAACTTGCTCATAAGAAGTTGAAAATCATTAGTTCAGAGGATTTTATTGAAGGTGAAGTGGTCAAAGGTACTTGGGTCATTAAATTACTCATTTTGCTGTTGAAACGTAAATACTGGCCACTCATTTTGTGTTAAACCAAGGACTGGCACCCAGGGGAAATTTGATTTGAGAAAATATTTAAATGTAGTTTATTTCCTTCCCATAGAAAAGCGTGCTAATATAACCATTTGGCACACATGTGCCATTACATGATATGTAATGATATAGTGAAGAATTCCATGCAAAAAATTAAAGATATTCAGATTGCTAATGTATTATTTATATGCACCTAGTCAATAGATTCTATTTTAGTAAGAGTTCACATTTTCCCATCCACAAATGCTTATTTAGGTCTGGTGCCACTTCTTTATATGCTGTTTTGATTTTATGATGAATTTAATAAATTTTGTAATTAGATAGAAATTACTAAAAGTAGAAGTTCTATGGTATTCAAAAGGAATACAGTGTATGCTATTAAAGAAAAAAATCACAAGTATTTCTTGGACAGTAACTACATTTCCTGTGATCAGTTTTAGTGAGATTGAGAGATTTGCTATGACACAGTGTGTACTTGAATGTTGCCTGACATGTAACTCTTTATGAGTTTATATTGTTGGATGCAAAAAGTTGTAGACAGAGTAACACTAAAAATGTGAAAAAGAAAATAGTGAAATGGAGATAACAGTGGCATTTATTTCAGGATTGTAAGAAAAATATTCTGGCTTTGTTCTTTCTTGGGTCATTAAAAAGATAACGCTGTATAACCAGAAGGTTGGCAAGCTTGAATACTGGGTTTCTATTTTTTTTTTACAGGATACCAATTGCACAGTAATACCTTTTTGGTCTTTATTTCTTCAAAACATGAAGACAAAAAATGAAGTAGATGACAATGAGAAGAGAGAAAACATCCATACAGAATATTCTGTGTCACTAGTGATTAAATCAGAAACAATTAGAAACTTTATTTGTCTGTGTCAATAATGTGTACCATTTATAAGGAACAGCACGATTAGTGTACTTTCCCCCTAAAGCTGTGCACAATACACACAAAATAAAATAATCAAACAAATAAAATGAAACAGTTTTACACAACTATAATAATTAATAACAACCCTGAATAACCATAATCATATTTTCCCTAAAGCATGAAAACTGAAAAGGCAAACAAACCCAAACACTTTGAAATTGAAATTGACCAAGAGCAAGAATTCCTTAAAGTGTCTTTTGAAGATTTGCTACAGGATTATTATATCCCAAAAAAAGACTACAAATGAGTGCAAAATCTTTCTAATGTTTAACAACTTATATCCCTTGACTATATTTACTTGGTCTTTCTATGCTAGCTTTCCATTTTTTAATCTTCAAAAATGGGGGGGGGCACAGATTGAAATGTACCACTACCTAATGCAGTTACTGGTGTCCATGGGCCACATTAGGACAGGGGTAGCTCATGGAAAACTACCATTGCCACAAAGAGAAAAGTGGGTTAACTCGGTCTTCTTAGTGATGCACGTCACTGAGATTGCCCTTCTTGGTTTTAAACTGGAAGTGGTACACATCTGGGAGTTGGCCAAGGACCCAGAGAGTGCTTTTTCCAAATCTAAGCTTTCCACAAAATCTTAGCTATTTGGACAACTTTCTTTTTATAGTTTTAATGTGTTTACGTTAAAATAGTTTCGTAATTTTTTCCTTGCAAGATACACTGTTTCAGTATGGCTGTGTCCTCTTTCACAAATGAAATAGCAATCACATTCACTGTACACCCCCTGAGAACAGGCGTCGGGGCTATCTTGGTCATACCTTAGTCTCCAGGAAGCAGCACATTACGTGGCATATCAAGTGTGCAACCTGACTTCAGTTAAATGGTTATGAAATGCAGAGTCATGGTCACTGAGTGGAGGAAGAGAAGTCTCAGCTGTATTTGTTTCTTAAGTATCTCTGAATCAGTTACGAGGGCTGGGGATGTCTTCAGCCTGAGACTCTGCAGAGACAGTGAAGTCTCTGAAAGGTGAGCAAAGCCATTCCATTTCTCCTCATTAGTGAAATCAATACTTTGGAATGTTAGGTTTATCCATGCTCTTTGGTCTTTTGAAATAGAGTTGTTTCTTTTAAAGAGTTCTCTTTAATCATAAGTAGAGGGACCAACTTTTAAAGACCCGTCAGTCAACCTGGCTTCTTTCTTATTCAGGAACTACTGACATAATTTGTGGGATATGGACTGGATGATGAAACAGTGCTCAAAATAGCCTTTGACATAAAAAGCAATAAAACAAGCCAGCACAATCTATCATCTGTACCAGACAGATCAGCTGTGCAATAAATACTTTGGGGAAAGGGGAGATTTAGAAATGGTGGCCCCAAAAGCCCAGGCACATCTAATGCATACACCCCTCTCCAGCACCTTCTCTCTGGCTTTCCTGAATGAATGGCTGATTTAAGAGGCCTCTGGTATGTTCCACATAGCTAACTTTCCATGAAGACCTTTGAGTTTGCCTGTTATCCTCAATAACTTTCGCTTCTCTCCATGTGACAGTTATTGCTTCTTGGAAATGTATGTGCAGATTCATGAACAATAAGCCATTTTCTTCTTTTATCCCTAGTAATCAACTAAGCAACAACAAAAACATAACAACTCAGGTGAAATGAAAACCCACTCATGTCTGCAGTGTCCAATCAGTGTTGCTATGGGAGAACAATATATGCTATAGTCTACTATATACAGATACGCTTTGTTTTGTTTTATTTGTTTTTCATCCATGCACTGTTTAACAGGTATCACATCAACATTCCCAAACAGGCACATGAAAAGGAGCAAATATTCAGTTATGACTGCAACAGGGTTGTGCAAGCCATGGATGTTTTGGGAAACAAAACTGACAGACAATCCCAGCCAACAGCAACAGCAACATGGGACTGGGGCACATACTGATGCGGATGGAAAAGGATGATGTGCTTTTAGGATGGGATTATTCTTCCGGTTTGTACGGAGGGAAGATGGGCAGGAGGAAAAGGGCTGGGATGGGACTCTTAGAGGATTATCTGGGCTGGAACAGATAAGAGCGTTGCTAATCACACTCTGGAGCTAAAGAGATAAAAAAAATAAAAAAGGGATTCTGCATGTTCTTGGGAATCTAGGCACGGTACCCCTGTACCTGTTGAAAAAGAGTGCCAGGCACCACATCCCTAATATTAGACCGTATGGAGAACCATCAGTTTTCCCAGCTCCACTCCAGCTCTTGTGCTTCTTGGAGGCAGCTTTACCTTTGTTCACTTTTCGGAGATGAGCATGAAATTGGGTAACGTAATAAAGGTGCACTTCTTTCTTCTTCCATGCCCAGATCCTTTCTTAATCCAAAGTAATTTTTAAAATGCTTGGGAGAGGTGAGGGGAATCTTCATGATTTCAATTTTCTACCCCCAACCCATTTACATTTGGATGGTTCATCATCTTCCACAAGGGGAAGCAAAAACCTTGACCCTCCCAACAAAACAAAACAAAAAACAAAACAAAGAACACAAAGCCAAATATCAGCTACCTTGTCAGTCCCACTGAAAGTAAAGTCAAAAACAAGAAAGTAAATCAAAGCTTTCACCATTTAAGAACCCGGAGAGAGAACAGCTCTTCTTGCTGAGCTGCAGAGATGGCCCTGCCTCTGTGCCTTGTTCAACACGGTGATGGCCCTGGGAATGGGAGGTGAGGGTGTCTGACGTCGGCCCTAGTACAGAGTATGCTCTTGAAGCTGGATTCCATCAGCAGGTAAGTGAACATGACAAATGTCCATTTTCTCTGTTCGTTATACATAATTTTTATGTATATATGTATATATATATATATAAATTTACTATATCAGATTGTTCCTTTAGAAGCCTTTTATGTGGCAGTAGGCCTCCAGGGAAGAGAAGAAAATGTACAAGAGCCACAGGAGCACAAAGAGGCAGGATGTGAGGAGCTTGGCAGTCCGGGGCCCACCCAGCTCACCTCCGATTTCTGGCCTCCGCCGATACAGCAGCACCCCCACATTGATGAAAGCAAAGATGGTGAAGAGAGTGACAGAGAAAGCTAGTGTGCCAGGGGACACTTTGAACTGTTCCCCATTGGCCGCGTGGTAGATGGCAGCAATGGACCAGGCCACGCCGATTCCCAGGAAGACATTCACTGCATTGCTGCCTGTGACGTTACCTATGGATGCGTCTGCATACTGGTCCTGGGTGGCTGCTACTTTGCTGGCAAATGTGTCTGCAGAGAAAGCAAAAAAAAGGCAGTCACACTCAATGAGCCCTTTAAAAATACCCATGGAGTGCAAGGAACTTCAGCTCAGTAGTCTAGAAAGAAGGCCTGGATGTAAACTCAATGACCCAGAGTGGGCTTCTGTATGGTCAAAAGAACAGGATCTAGGTTGTGAGAGCCAATCATTGGGTGCTGGCTCTGTTACTGACAAAGCGATGTTAGCCAGGTTCTATATCCACAGATATTGTTCATTTTATACTGAGTTTGCAGGGCAGCATTTTTCAGAAAGCAATTGCAGCCCAGCAGCCTTGGAATCAAGATGGGGTCTTTTTAATATTACAAGGCCCCGCCCAGCTATGTTGAGTCATACCTACTGGAGCCCTGGAGTTCATTTCAATAATATCCCATAACATTCTTGGTCACTTAAGGCTGAAAACAGCTGATGGAGAGCATTACTGAAAGAAATGATTTCCTCAGTCTTCTTTACAAATAATAAGATTCAAATGTTATGAGAGATTCTCAGAGATTCAATAGCAAGCCCATAGGGAAACTAAAAAGAGTCAAACTATAATAGCTGGTATTTTCCTAGTCTTCCAAATAGGAAAGCAGATTTACCTAAAGGACTGCATTGATTGTGATAATGCATCTATGAGATGAAGAAACCAGGCTTGGAGATGATAACTAACGGGTACAAAGTCATACATCTAGGAAGAAGCCAGGTTAGGGTTTGAATGCTGGCTTTCTGTGTTCATGAGTCATGGCTGTTCATCTTACCTTTCCCTGTGCCAGAGGAATCAGCAAGCACCCTCATAGCTCCTTGCTCACTAGAAATCCTGAATGCATCTTTTTGTAAACATAGGAAAGTCATTGTTCATTACATGGAGTAAGAAAGCAGCAACTTACATGTCTCGACCAGTAGAGCACAGAGGTTTCAGAGCCTGCCTGCCAACTGATGGCATGATCTTAGGCCTTCATTCCTACTCTCTGAAACAAGGTATTAAGTATAGGGTATATAATTTGTAAAATGCCTTTTATGTTCTTGGTAAGAGTAGGTCTTATACACAGAACTTGTTAAGTACTCTGTTTCGTGACTATGCAATACCTAGGGACTGACATTAAAGTTACCTTTGCAAGCTACTTTGCATATTAGTTTTATAGTGGACTTTAATGATGGCCAAATTGAAATCTTACTTGCAAAGTCAGTAGTTTCTAGCACTAAATAACTATGAGGTGCTCTGCGATCTGCTCTGAGGTCCCCGAGGCCTCTTTCATGCTCCTGTGCTACCATTCTTTCTTGGTAAACCTACAGCTGGGATACTACACACAGCATGGAAGTTTATACTAGCCTGTAGGTTCTCTGCTTTCTCATGGCTTAAGAGTTTATTTATCTGACCAGAGGCTATGCATCTGCAGTAGCACATTTTTTTCTGAAAGGGAGTTGGTCAGCCCTGACATCCTTTTGTAGAAGTTGACCTCTGTCTGCATTGGAAAGCAGATTTCATTACTCTTTTAAAGAAACTAAAGGGCTGGGAATTTAGCCCAGTGACCTAAGCCCCTGCCTGTAAGCACAATGTTGTACGTTTGATCCCTGGTACCAAGAGAAAAAAAAAAGAAACTAAAGCAAATATTGTTTATTCCATGCCAGGCATTATGTTATACAGGTTATGTGTATATTCTAACTTAGTCCATTTGGAAGCCTTATGGATGTGGCTATTCCCTTTATTTAATTTTGGAAGCTATGATGTTATGATATTATGCTTCTTGAGCAGTGCCTTAGCCAGAAGAATGAGAATTTTAAAATCTCAAGTCTTCATAATTTCAGAACCCATCCTCAATCCATCTGCATTATCCCCTGGGAAGGCTAACAATTTCCTTTCTATGCAGTCCATTTCTACCTTGCCCCATTCTTTCTGCTCAAAAACTCTAAAGCAAGTTCTCACCACATAGCCTTTCTTATATCACAGAAAACACAGATGAAGGAAGATAGGCAGTTTGCTAATCCACCTTTCTGATTGTGCTGCCTTGTTCATCTACACTGTACATAACCACTCCTTCAGGATGATCAAAGAGATTGGTGAGTAAAAGCAAAGCCAGACAAATCTTAATGGCTTTTTGCATTTCATTATTAAGAGTTATTAGGAGATGCTGCCACAGCAGCTTCAAAATAATGACGTTGTTTTGCTTTGCTTTCTTTAAGGAAGGCAAGTAGATCAAGGAAAGCAGAGGGACAGAGTCTAAGGCAAGAGAAAGCTACTTGTTGCTCAGCTGCTGTGGAGGAACAAGTGAGGTTATTCTGAGCTGGCATGGCTAAGAGCACGGGCTGGCGGCGGTGAGCAGATGGCCACATCTGGTGGGGGCAGTTGGGGAGAGGAGGGAACACTCATTATGTAGCAGGGACAGGTGACCTGAGTGTCCCATAGCACAAACCTGCCTAGCTCCCCTGGCACCTGGCACATGATGCACTGCACTTGCTGGGTGGCCTGTTCCCATTCAGGGACTCTGGACTTTCTGGAGCAACTTCTGCCTCAGCACCAGAAGACGAGGCATGCAAAGATTCCTGGGTCCAAACCTGAACACCCACAACCAGTCCTGTAGGCTGGAATGGAGGACATGTCAGGTCTCTAGCAAGTTCCTTTCCTTCAAACCAGTTTTTCAATAGCCTATTTAAATGAATAGTGCATGAAAAATTCCTACTTGTAACAACAGGTTCCTATTTTTAAATGCCTTTTTCTGGCATGTCTCAAAATTAGGAGCCACAGTGACTAGCATGTCACATAAACAATGCATGTTCTGGGCCTCTAGGAGTCTGGTAGATTTTGTTTTATTTACTGTGGTTATCTATTAGGAATTTTGTCTATTTTTTATTTTCAATTCAGAAGTGACATAAAAAAGGCAAGAACACATACAAATCTAAAACATGAAGCTTAACACCAGCAAACATAATTCTGTTTTCCAAATGAAGTGGGATAGATTCTCCCTGACTTGTCTTTTACTGCTGCTTTGCTGCTTAGTGCAGAGAGCAACGTAGCACAAGCCAGATGCTAAGCGATGCCAACTCCTGCCCTAAACATTAAGCCTGTAACCTACCTGTGTTTGAACAAGTCAAAAGCCATCCCCCAAAGGAAACTCCAAGGAAAAGTGCTTACTGGGTTTGAGAGGGATTATATTCAGAGTATGCTCATTAAATACAAAGATAAAGGTATCAGATTTCCAATGTGACTAGTGTAAATTCAGACATGTCAACAATTTATTTATTTATTTATCTATCGGTACCGGGCATCGAACACACGACCATGTGCTTGCAAGGCAGGCACTTATGCCGCTGAGCTAAATTCCCAGCCCTAACAATTTTATATATACAAGTTTTCCTACGTAAGTTTTACTTTCCTCAACTAAAATGACAGATCTAGATTAGCAGAACTGTAGCTATTGTGTTTGAATGGTCCACGGAACATATCAAACTAATTAATATGCTGTTGTTATTTTTTTTCTGTAGGAGTTTGTATATGACAACTCTCAGTCACTAATATTGACTAGTGATAATCAGTGTCTTCTCAGTTGAAAGAAACTGCAAAAGAAACAATTGATAGTGACAAGACAACAAATAGAATGGGAAAAAGTTTTGGTGGCTACTTTCCTGAGAAAGGACTGAGGGATAGAATATGGAAAGAACTCAAACAATAACCCCTCAAAACAAATTACCTAAATAAAAAGTGGACAAATGAACTGAATAGATACTTCACAAAAGAAGTACAAATGGCGAACCAGTACTTGAAAAATGTTAATCAACTTTAGCTATCAGAGAAAGGAAATATCAAATCCGAGATTCTATCTCAGTCTCAGAATAGATCAAGAGCACAAAAAAACAACCAATTCTGGTGAGGGGATGAAAAAAGGAAACACTGCACAATATTGGTGGGAATGTAAATTAGACCAACTAAACCTAAAAATCCCTTTGACACAGCTGTATGTTTCATAGGTATATTACCAGAAGAATTAAAGGCATCCTATTATAGTGATTACATGCAGAGCCATGATTATACCAGCACAATCCACAAAGCTAAGCTCTGCAAACAGCCTCAGTGCCTATCAGAAAGCAAACTGACAAAGAGAATGTGATCTATGTGCACAATGGAACATTATTCAGCCACACAGAAGAACGAAATCGTGACATTTGCAGGAAGATGGGTAGATCTTGAGCACATAATGTTAAAGGAAGCACATCAAACACAGAAAGTTAAATAGCACACGCTTTTTCTTACACAAAAATTCCAAAATATAAAAAAAATTAAAAGGCTGAAATAAAGGAGAGATGGTAGGAAACAGGGGGACAGATTTGTTAGGAGATGGGAAGGGAGCCGAGAGAAAGGAGGGTGGGCAACGAGGGGGTACAGGGAATGAAAATGTTCATGACGATATACACGAATGTTTGATCTAAGGGAAATATTTGAAGATCCCAGGAAGAAAAAAGGCCTGAAGACATTGCATTGGCCAATCCGTGGCAATATTTCTGGAATTAAAGTGTCTTTTTCTTTTTAACATTAGATAAGAAATGTTGGCAAAAGTGTCTATTTTACCTCACTTGAGTAGTCATTCAATTCTGTGAGGGAAGGATGGTGTAAAGGGTGGCAGAGATGCCGGTTTCCAAGACGGTGTTTAATATCGATAAAGTTTATACAGTATTGGCATCAGAAATACCTGGTGAGCTTTATTTTTAAAAATGTAGATTTGGAGCTCCAATCTAGGGCCACTGAATCAGGCTGTCTGGCAGAAGGCAGACCGAGAAATGTGTTTTAATAAGCATCTTATATTATTCCCTTTGTATCAAAGTTGGAAAATTCCAGTTCTGAGGCCTACCATGGGAGGAATCACTTCAAATGCCTACAGTTTGGGAGGACTGTGGGGGAAGAACAGATGTGTGCATTTCAGTAAAGCAGTAAACTGAGGAATCAGGTGCATCTGGTCTTTCTTAGAAACACTGATGCCCTCAGATATAGTGGTTATTTTGC